ATGTGTATGTGTGACCCATCACATCAAACCAAGAATCAAGTCCCAAAGTGGTTTGTGGAGAAATGGGTAGTTATAGTGTTTTGGTTAAAACGTTTGCAACAATTATTTTTTGTCAAAGTATGAATAAATAGTTTATCTACTGGTCATGTAAATGAAATATCTGAAATATAATCTTACAACTAAATGATTTTGAGCAGAAAAGCTTTAAATTTTTGACATTTTCTCTGCTAAGTAGCAAAGAATTTTTTTTCCCTGCAAGGGAATCTCAATATCCAAGTATTGTTTGAGGTTTCCAATTTAAAATAACACCAAAATTCCTCATTCAAATAACTTAAAAGTAGGTTTCAGACCAAATATCAATGAACAATCATAATTAGGAAGACAAGTCAAGCCTTATCTCTGAAACCACACATGATCTCAAGATGAATCATGTATCAAGCACCAATGTGCTTAGCTTTTGACCAAATTTGACGTAGTTTTCATTTGGATGACGGGTCAAATGTATCAACTCAACCCTTAGTGTGTGCATTAGTTCATATTTTATCCTCTCGCTAAAATCAAAGTCTGTTTTCTACTTTCTTTGTGTGATTAGTTGTGACAGTCTGGGTTTTATGTGCTCGTTTTCAGGTTTAGTGGTTCACGTGGACAAGAGAATAACATTAGCAGCATTCAAACAGAGGTTGGAGCCGTACGTCGGCGTGATGTCGTCCCAGTTCAAGGTGTTTCGGGTTTATGCCAACAACCAGGAGTTTGAGAGCGTACGGCTCAATGAAACACTTTCATCGTTCTCTGACGATAACAAGGTCAGGACAGCCTGCTCAGGATGTATTCATCGCATAAATGGTTTTCACGAGAAAGCATTAATATTTGAAATGTGATTTGTTTTAGATAACTATTCGACTAGGGAGAGCCCTGAAAAAGGGTGAATACAGAGTTAAAGTGTATCAGCTTCTAGTAAATGAACCAGAGGTAAYAGAAGATTTGTAAATTATATTATTAAATGAGTAATAAAGACGTTTCGTAATCATGTTCTTTTTTTCCTCAGCCCTGCAAGTTCCTTGCGGACACGGTGTTTGCCAAGGGCATGACTGTCAGACAGTCCAAGGAGGAGCTGCTTCCTCAGTTAAAAGAGCAGTGCAAGCTTGACCTCAGCATCGACAGGTAAAATGAACCATTGACAAGTTTGACTGAGTCCAAATATTATTTATTAAGAGTAAACATTAGTGTGCACAAAGTTGCATTTTTCTGTACGTTTGTGTGTTTTTGTGGTTAGGGTTCGACTCAGAAAAAAGACATGGAAGAATCCGGGCACAGTGTTTCTGGATTACCACGTCTACGAGGAAGACATCAGCATCTCTTCCAACTGGGAGGTTTTCCTGGAAGTCCTTAACGGTAATATAAGCTCTGCAGTTTCGCCTAAATAAGCTGCTTTATGCTGGTTATACGTGTGCAAATGAACATTGTCTTTTCTCAGAACCAGAGAAGATGAAGTCCATGTCACAGCTGGCTATTCTGACTCGAAGGTGGAATCCGGCTACGATGAAGCTGGGGCCTTTCCAGGAGGTGATTCTGGAGAGCAGCCGTGTAGATGAACTCAAAGAGAAGGTATTAATGTTGTCTCATAATTTACTTGTAAAATTTGTAAAAGAGAGTTGTTGACATTATGATTTAAAGAGGACACATCATGCTAAATCCACTTTTTTATTATTACTATTATGTCAAATTATTTGCAACGGAATTGCCAAATAAGGTTTGGATTTACCAACAACCCTTTGGTGGTCTTCATTCTCCTCTGGTTCTGGGTCAGACTCTGGCTCCAACATGTAAGACTGGATGGACAAGTCTTCCCTTGTACACAAATTAATTAAAAGATGTCAAAAAATAATTAAACATTGAACACATGGACTACACACACACACACACACACACACACACACACTGGATTTGATTATAGATTTTTGGAAAAGTAGGCAGCCCTGCATGTTGACTTCAACACATCATTTATCTCATACACTGTGGTATCAGTTATTGCTTCTGTTCAGTGAGCTGACATTGAGTTTTATTTTTTGTTTATTTGTTTGTCATGTCACGTTCATTTTATTTTATTTTTTCTATTCATTTTTATGCCATTAATTTACCCAGTGATGTCATGTTATTCTCATACGCACTCTGAGCTACCACAACCAAAAATAAGTTCCTCATATGTGTGTGTGTGTGTGTGTGTACATGGCTAATAAAGCTTGATTCTGATTTATATTTTTGTGAAATATTTTGTTTACTACGGAGCCCGCCGGGGGTCAGTGGGAGAAAAAAAAACAGCCACTGGAAATCCGTGAGCACGGATTACTAAACTGAGCGAACGGATTACTAAACTGAGCGAACGGATTACTAAACTGAGCGAACGGATTACTAAACTGAGCGCACGGATTACTAAACTGAGCGCACGGATTACTAAACTGTGCTCACGATTTCTGCAATTCGTGCGCACGGATTACTGATATCTGGAGGGTGGTTGTGTGAACTGTCGTTCATCAGCTCAGAAAGTGCTTAAGGAGCGTTTTTTTGTTCACTAAAGTCAAAGTACAGCACAGAAAATGTTGGACTTTGAGTATTTTGTACAGTTTTTGTCCCACTATCAGGCAGTTTTGGTACTGGGTCTCCTAAAGGCTGTTTCAGCTCTGCTCGGATCATCACAGTAAGCTTCTGCCCGTGGTTACAGGATGTTTACAGTTTCCCTGACAACGGGGAAGTTTTGCTAAAGTTAGCTAGCTGCCTTCTCAGGGTTATATCACAAAAGTACTGAATCGATTTATGTTGAACTTTTAGGAAATGTTTATTACTCATTCAAAAACATTTATTACACCACAGAAACATCTGAATAAAGTTTGAAACATTTCAGAGTAAGAGCGGGGCTGCGGCTCCCATGATTGTCTTCTGCAGATGAAGCTCGCCACARGGGGACATTTCTCTGCAGCAAGCCGCTCGGAGGTTTTCTCCAGCTGTTCTCAGATATTTATTCTCTTTCACAACAAAACGGGGGACAGGAGGGCGGAGGAGGCTAACCTCCYTTTCAGGATTCATTTGCCTGGAAAATATGAAAATAAATAACCACGTCAGATTTTGATGAAACTTTCAGGGACATTCTGTGGCTAAAAAGTGTGTTGATGAGAACACGACAGTGCCTTAAGTTTATATAACAGATCCACTGAATTTACCGTGCAGATGCGGCTTCATACGGTTGTATTCTGAGGAAAGGATTCGAGCGACAACTAACCCCGAAACAACAAGTTGTCCCCGCACTCAACAGTTTTCACTTCCTGTTTAGCCTTTCACAATAAAACCGGATACAACAAAACAGATTGTACCACACACACCATGCGGCAACCTGTCGACACAATCTGCGCGCACTGATTGCAGAAACTGAGTGCACAGATTAGTAATCCGTGCTCTCAGTTTAGTAATCCGTGCGCACAGATTGCAAAAACAGAGAGCACAGATTAGTAATCCGTGCGCACGAATTACTAATCTGTGCTCTCAGTTTAGCAATCCGTGCGCACGGATTTCCGGCGGCTGTTTTTCTTTTTTCACCACTGACCCCCMGCGGGCTCCGTAGTTTACCAATAGTTTACATAATGAGAATTGCTCTCATGTCTTATTTGTTTTCATTTTATATTTTGCAGCTTAGTGAAATCAGTGATATTCCACTTGAAAACCTAGAGTTTGCAAAGGTGAGGATTTCTTTATCTTAAATTCTACCTTCTGTGTTAGATTATTTACTAACAAACAGTTTGTTCACAGGGCAGGGGAACATTTCCTTGTGACATCTCRGTGTTGGAAATCCATCAGGATTTGGACTGGAACCCTAAGGTGTCGACCCTTAATGTGTGGCCTCTTTATATCTGTGACGACGGAGCCGTGGTCTTCTACAGGTAACGCATTAGTTCAGACAAGATCATTTAGATTATTTTTACTGTTTTTAATCGGTCAATTTTCAAACAGAAATACGTATGAGCAGTCTTGACCACAAGGTGTAATGGCAAAAATACAACAGAATAAAGTTAATTATTAAAAAAGGTTTATAAATAAAGGAGCAGTTGTCACGTTTCTGTCTTGACACGTCCATTTGTGTGATCCGTCTTGGGTGCAGGGACAGCAGAGAGGAACCCCAGGAGCTCTCGGAGGACGAGCGTAACGAGTTGATGAAGAAGGAGAGCAGCCGACTGCTGAAGACGGGACATCGTGTCAGTTACTCACCGCGGAAAGAGAAAGCCCTGAAGATCTACTTGGACGGGGGTCCTCTGAGAGACCCGGGGCAGGACTGAAACACAGGCTGTCTGGCTGCTGCAGGAGATCAACCTGGCATTGGGACTGAATGTTGAGCCAAACAGTGACTTGAAATGAAGCAGCGTTACGAGGTAGATGTGCTCTCACTCAGAGCCCCGGGGCTGGCTCCAAAACCCCTGCTGTGCACTCAGAGTGTATTGTACTATACAGTTTAAAGGGAAGTACAAAAGCTGTTCTCACAGGAAATGAAGACTACTGTATTAACAAATCATTTGAAATAAAARGCTTCAGATTTGGATGTGGAGGATTTGGGACTGTGAAAGTCAACCATCATGTATTTGTAAGTCTTTGATGTCTTTTGAAATTAGGCACTTTTGCTCTCTTCTGTCATGTGTTCATGTTTCTTTTGGACAAAGTGTTGATTCTGACTCATCTGTGGCCGTCTTGTAACTTCAGCGTTCTCACAGCTTCTGAGCACTGCTCTGGTAGAGCACTTTCTCTCTCTCTCTCTCTTTAAAACCAAAACAACCTACTTATCTGGACCTCCTCAGTCTCGCCTCTTCTGGCAAAACAAACCTCATTCTCTCTGTGACATTGAAGGAAAGACGATAAAGAATTTCTAAACTAAAAAATTTGTTTTTGGTTCCGATAATGTCCGTGATGTGTTATGGGCTGTCAATGATGCTGCTCGTTATTTAAAGGAGCTCGCTCTCTGTCACATCACTTCCACTGGGCGTGATGCTCTTTTTTAATAGAACGTGAAATGAAGCAGAATCATGTAGACTTTAGGAACTTTTTGTTTTGTTGTAAATTATTTTGGCTGAGACTTAACTCAGTTAGGTCTCGTGAGGCTCCAGAAACACATCTGTCTACTAACGTTTTAATTTAGATAATGTATTTGCATTTGTTTCTTTGCACCCCCCTAAGCTGGGGGTACATGACATGGCTCATTGTCTGCGTGGTGTTGTACTGTGTGAGAGGGAGGGGTCTCTCGGGGGTTTTCCTCAGAGAACATGAATTTTGGCGCTTTATCTGCTGCTGCAGCTTGTAGATGGACACCGGAGAGTGTAGAAAAGCCTGCTGGACTTGTCTTTCTGACTGGGTCAATGCTCTGAGAACTAAAGCTCAGCGTCCCAGCCTCCCTGGTCTTCTGATTTTGCCACCAGCTATTAACATGCCAATATCAGAAGAAATACCTTTTTTTTGTTTTGTTTTGTTGGTTTATTTCTTTGAGAAATCCTGTGTGAAAATAAGTAAAGATGATTTTAGAAATAAATTAAAGCAATGTTTGTTTTTTAATAAAACGAGTTTCTGCCTCTGAAAGTCAAAATGGTTAAAATACATTTTCTGAGTTACACGTTGAGTTTGCTTGAGATCAGTCACTACAGTTCTACAGCTGGAGTTGTGTACAGCAGATATAGGGATGTAAAAATATATATTTTAACATGAATGTTGAAGTGTTGAGACACATTGCCATACTTGAGGAGCTCGTGTATAAATGCATAGTTCACAAGACTTTGGTATTTTATACAATAATACCGCAGCAGCATTTGGTGGTAATCCAGTTTAGGAAAAAATCAAACGGTTTATTGAAATGTGTAAAAGGAAGTAGTGAAAAGTCCTTAAAAAACAGCAAGGCAGTTTTATTGTCCAATTAGATTTGAGGGGARTTTAAAGCTGTCTAAACCACACAGATTCACCTGTTTTCTGTTGGTTTTACTGCACTGAGTCAAGAGTTAAATACACTGTTATTGGTTTGCTACATTATACCTAATTCATTTAAAATCTGTTCTTATTGTTGCAAATATTTCCTTTTTAATATTTGTTCCTCATCTGATGAGACTCCAGAAAACTAATCTGGGTGATTGCTGAAACCAGAATTTGAGAGAAGATGGAGAAAAAATATTCCAAATGTTGGGTTCCTAATACCATCAGCAAATCAATGTATTTTTTTATTATTTAGGATCTTTGCTTGAACTTTTACTTCACAGTCTTCTTTGAGGTGGTTAAATTATTTAATGGAGAAAGCATTAGAAGTCGTCATAGTTTTCAGCTTACAAATAACACTTTCACACCAGACTGATCATATTGAGATCGAGTTGCATGTGCATGTAAAATGTGTTGTGTTTCAAATTATTGAAATATATTGGCACAAAAAACAACACTTAAACCTAAAACCAAGACATCCTAGACAATTTGGCAGCCTAGGCAAGATTTCAGGTGGTGCCTCTTGTGCAGTTTTCTAAATCTTACAGCTGACTTACAGTTATTCACATACGGTATATAGTTTTGTCTTAAGTGTTTTTTTTTTTTGTTATATTTAGAAACCAGGTTGTCTAAAATCATAACATTCACTGACAGAAGTGAGGAACACGTGTCCATGCCAACAAGCAGCTGTGGAGTGAAGCAGTTCTAGGGGGGTCCAGGGGTGTACTCGACCAGAATTGTTTTTTGTAAAAGATCTAACATAAAACCATAAACATAAAATCAAAGTCTCTAATGAACCTTACCTTCTTCACTGTAATGTCACATAAACATTTCATTAAATAACAAGCYAGACTGTTATTACATCTATTAATCTGTATTAATTGCTTATGAGTGTGTCAAAACTAGCCATTTTCCAATTATTTGCAAAAGAAATGTTACTATATATATA